GAACACAGATGACAGACAGCAGAACAAATAGGTTAGCCTGGAATGGCAAAACAAAGTTAGCAGCAGTGGGAACAGGATGATGAACCCAACTCAAGGAACCCATGGCAGCACAAATCCCACTCCCAAACTGAAGCTTGGGAACAACACTCTCGTTCTTTTCAAAACTCCTCGTGACTTTAGTGCCCCAGGGTGTCTTATTTTAACCCAGCAGATGGTCATTCCAAACACCTTTGTCTTCTCTCGCTCCTTATTCTGCACTGGTTGTGCAGTAATAAAACACATGCAACTACTGAAAAGTACAGGCAGCTAAACATTTTGCTTGAGTGCACAGTATGATTTGCAAGCTGTCTGACTTCCACTGTATGTCATACCCCTCCACTGAGTTTATCTCTCAACACACTTAAATCAGTAAGAAACCTGAAGAGGAAACATCTTAAGACAACACTCACTCTGCATAGAAGTTCTAAAACTATTCAGCAGCACAAATACATGAAAAATATTCATCCCAGTACAATGAGGACAGAAACACTCAAGGGACTTAAGTTATATGATTTTTTTTTCCTCCTGGCTACTAAAACCAGATCACCTCCATTCATAGATCAGACAATACCCTCAGTTTTATAAACCATCTGAAAGACAAGCAATGGCAGGAGTAACAGAGTACTTGAAAAAGGAAAAGCAGAAGCAGTGGAGAAAATGAAGTCCTACTTTCATGTATGCCCTCACAGCCTGCAATCTGCTCACATGACACTTGGGAGAGGGATTTTTAAATATGTGTAAGAACTTTTCCTGTCCCAATTCACACGTGCAAAATTTTTCAGTACTTCAGGAGAGAGTACTATGGATAAGCCTACTACTTTAGAGACAAATAAAAATAACAGATTCCTCTCCTGACTTGTTTGAATTTTAAGCACTCAATCCTACAAAGCAAGTATCAGGTCTTTAGTGTCCAAAATAATCCTTGTTAATAACAACCTGCTCACTCAGATGCCTTTGTATCAAAATGGCCTAAATTAAAAATGCGGGAGATGACAAAAAGCTGAGGAAGAGAAAGAAATCCTGAGGGACATGGGCTCGGTTGTGGTCCAGATAGCTTTACAGCAGATTCAGCAACACAGACTTCCTAAACATGCACAAAGACAGCAATCATTTTCCAAATTAATTTAGCTGACGTACCATGGTTAGCTACCTAGGAAGCTGGACCAAAAATAAACCAGAGCTGTTGCACAAATTATGATCCTGTTTACTGAGGTTCAGGAAAAAATAATCACCCTTAAATGGACAAGAGCCAAAGAGCATTACTGTGCAGGCTCATTTCTTAAATTACAACATCTCATAACTAATAGGCTTTACAGAATCTTGACCATAATATTATCACGTAAGACAGGTTTTAACCTCAAAAAAACCTGGTTGTTAAAGTAGCTATTAGTACCTCTCTGAAGAGGATTGGGACTATTTTGTGTTAGACATACTACGAACAATCAATATTAAGAGAAACAGTATTTTCTTCTAACTTTATAAATATCATAAAAGTACAGATAAGAGGTTTTTAATGTTAGTAAGCACTTTGAGTGACATTCATTTTCTGTACAAACACAGAATTTAATATTTTTTTAAAATTAACTCCTTGCTCAGCACTCATGTGAATCAATATCATACCTTATGCTTTCATCTAGATCATCTCAGCCTTTTGATTAAAATTACTTTGAGAAAAAGAAAAGTGGTAGACACAGGCATTTCATACAAAGAAAGCTTTTCATTTATGTTCAACACAGGGCACTGTCAACTACAAAGTAGACAGTTTTATAAGTGAAGTAGAAGCTATTTCAACATAAAACATCTTTATAGTATGAATCTCAAGAAACTATATTAAGGAAAACAAGAAGTACATTTGCCCTCTTTTAGCTGATGAAGAAATGGAGGACCTGAGCAAAAAAAGTTAGTTGGACAAAGTCATAAGACAAGAAATATTTTTTAAAAAGGGGCAGGGGGAGGGGAGGGACAAATTCACACACTAGTTTTACCCTTTGGTACAGAAGCTGCAACAGAAACAATCCAGTATCCAGATACATAAAAAGTTACATATAAAATCCAGACTCCTAATGTAATGGGCTACAAAATCTTGAAAAAAGTCACACAGATTTTTCTAAAGAAACGTGTTAAGACCAAAGAAGAAAAAGGAAGAAAAGAAACATTATTATAAATACGCAAAACAAGGATGATAATTTCTAAATTTCTATTGTAATTCTACCAGACAAAAATTAAATCTTGATCTGTTTTTTATCATATGTACTTTTGACTGCATAACCTAATATTTAGACAACCCCACTGAAGAGGCAGAATATAAAAATGATTCTGCTACATACAATTTAAAACACTACCACGATCTGAACCATGACCATAAAACATTCACTACTACAGGGTGCCTACAGGAGAGATGGGGAGGCACTCATCAGCACGTGTAGTGACAGGAAGAGGGGTAATGGTTTTAAACTGAAAGAAGGCAGATTTAGGTTAGATATTAGGAAGAAATTTTTCACTGTGAGGATGGTGAGGCACTGGAACAAGTTGCCCAGAGGAGCTGTGGATGCCCCATCCCTGGAGGTGTTCAAGGCCAGGCTGGATGATGCTTTGAGCAAGGTGGAGGGTGTCCCTGCCCAGGGGGGTTGGAACTAGATGATCTAGATACAGAGAAGGCAGAGTTACTGAAT